GAGGGAGGTGAGAGAGTGGGGGGGGGAGGGAGGGTGAGAGAGTGGGGGGGGAGGAGGGTGAGAGAGTGGGGGGGGGGAGGGAGGGTGAGAGAGTGGGGGGGGGGAGGGAGGGTGAGAGAGTGGGGGGGGGGAGGAGGGTGAGAGAGTGGGGGGGGGAGGGAGGGTGAGAGAGTGGGGGGGAGGGAGGGTGAGAGAGTGGGGGGGAGAGAGGTGAGAGAGGGGGGGGGAGGGAGGGTGAGAGAGTGGGGGGGGAGGAGGGTGAGAGAGTGGGGGGGGGGGGTGAGAGAGTGGGGGGGAGGAGGGTGAGAGAGTGGGGGGGAGGGGGTGAGAGGTGGGGGGGGGAGGGGGGTGAGAGAGTGGGGGGGGAGGAGGGTGAGAGAGTGGGGGGGGGGAGGAGGGTGAGAGAGTGGGGGGGGGAGGGTGAGAGAGTGGGGGGGGGGAGGAGGTGAGAGAGTGGGGGGGGGGAGGGAGGGTGAGAGAGTGGGGGGGGGTGAGAGAGTGGGGGGGGTGAGAGAGTGGGGGGGTGAGAGAGTGGGGGGTGAGAGAGTGGGGGGGTGAGAGAGTGGGGGTGAGAGGTGGGGGGGGTGAGAGAGTGGGGGGGGTGAGAGAGTGGGGGGTGAGAGAGTGGGGGGGTGAGAGAGTGGGGGGTGAGAGAGTGGGGGGGTGAGAGAGTGGGGGGGGTGAGAGAGTGGGGGGGGGTGAGAGAGTGGGGGGGGTGAGAGAGTGGGGGTGAGAGTGGGGGGTGAGAGAGTGGGGGGGGTGAGAGAGTGGGGGGTGAGAGAGTGGGGGGGTGAGAGAGTGGGGGGGGTGAGAGAGTGGGGGGGGGTGAGAGAGTGGGGGGGTGAGAGAGAGGGGGGTGAGAGAGTGGGGGGGGTGAGAGAGTGGGGGGGGTGAGAGAGTGGGGGGGGTGAGAGAGTGGGGGGGGTGAGAGAGTGGGGGGGGTGAGAGAGTGGGGGGGGGTGAGAGAGTGGGGGGGGGGTGAGAGAGTGGGGGGGGTTGGGTTAGTATTATTTACGAGGATGGGGAGAAGTCATCCATTACAGAGGTGTCTGTTTTCCAGCCCTTGTAACGTGAGGCTGAGGGGGGAGAGAGGGGTCGGGGTTTCGGGCTCTTTTTCACACTGTGCGACCGAGGACCGACCGGGAGAGAGTGAGTGGGGAAGAGAGGGAGGGAGGGAGGGGGACAGAGAGGGAAAGAGTGAGGGAGGAAGAAGGGGGAGGAGGGGGGGGGGGGGAGAGGAGTGAGGGAAGGAGAGAGTGAGAAAGAAGAGGGGGTGAGGGAAGGAGGGAGTGATGGAAGGAGGGAGTGAGGGAAGGAGGGAGTGAGGGAAGGAGGGAAGGAGGGAGTGAGGGAAGGAGGGAGTGAGTGAGGGAGTGAGGGAGAGGTTGAGCTGCCCCTCATACCTGCCCGAAGACCTGCACTTGCTGCAGCTTCTCCGCGCTCCTGCGCCACCGGCCGCCGCTCCCTGACGACGACGACGATGCGCCGCCGCCGCCGCCGGCGCCACCTGCAGCCTCAGCTCCCGCCGCTCCTGAGCTCGAGCCGCCAGCGCCCGGTTAACGTGCAGGTTACCATGAGCCGCCGCCGCCGTCAGCAGGAGCTGCAGCCAGGAGAGCGCGAGCCACAGCCGGGAGCCGCCGCCCGCCATCTTGGCCCCGCGAGTGAGTGAGTGTGAGTAGTGAGTGTGAGGGGGGGGAGAGGGGCGGGATCAGCGTCTCTTGTTTTTATGTCGGAGGTGTTTTTCTCCCCTGCCCGCCCGCCCGCGGGGCTCCTTTTACTCTCTGTCGCACGAGCGCCTTTAAAGAGCAGCCCACGCGCCTGCGCGGAACGGGCGGCACGCGCTGCTCTCTTTGAATGGGGAAGGGGACGCGCACTCCCAGCCCCGCCCCCAACCCACGCCCCGCCCCGCGCGCCTGGCCCCGCCCCCCACCCACGCCCCGCGCGCCTGGCCCCGCCCCCCACCCACGCCCCGCGCGCCTGGGCCCGCCCCCCCACCCACCCCACGTGCCTAACCCCCGCCCCCATCCCGCGCGTCTGCGCAGTACGGACAGGTTGGCGGCAGCGCGGGGCTGGGAGGGGGCGGGGTTTGGGTTGGGTTGAGGGGTGGGGTTTGGGGGTTGAGGGGTGGGGTTTGGGGTTGGGTTGAGGGGGTGGGTTTGGGGGTGGGGGTTGAGGGGTGGGGTTGAGGGGGTGGGGTTTGGGGGCTGAGGGGTGGGGTTGAGGGGTGGGGTTTGGGGGGCTGAGGGGTGGGGTTGGGGGGGCTGAGGGTGGGGTTGGGGGGCTGAGGGTGGGGTTGAGGGGGTGGGGTTTGGGGGTGGGGGTTGAGGGGTGGGTTTGGGGGGGCTGAGGGGTAGGTGGTGGGTGGGGGCTGAGGGGTGGGGTTGGGGTTCCCAATGTGTTTTGGTGTAAGGTGTTACGCTCTGTGCTCCTTTAATGGGAGGGGGACTTGAGACGTCTCAAAGCGCTTCACAGAATATACTGTAAAGTGCAGTGACTGTGTAATTTTTTTGGGGGGTGGGTGGGCCGGGATGGGCCGGGGGGGGGGGGGGGGCGGGGGCAACCCGAAAAACAGGAATCCCCAATCGTCAATCCGAACCGTCAATCTGCAAATCTCAAATCCTGCGATCCCTGACCATCGAATCGAATCCCAACGGCTCCTCACGGTCTCGGCTGACACTACAACACCATTGCTGGGGGTGGGGGGGGGGTTGGGTGGGAGTGGGGGGTAGTTCATTGTCGGAGGTGCCGCCTATTCGGATGAGACATTAAACCATGCCCCCCCCCCCCCACCCCAAATCTTCAGGTGGACAGGGTGAAGGAGAGCAGAGTTTCTCCTGGTGTCCTGGCCAGCAACAACAACTTAGCACCCTTCAGCAGGGGCAGCGTCTCGGAGCGCTTAACACTGGCGGAGCCTGACGCCGAGCTGGTGGTGTGTGGGGGGGGGGAAGAGTGTGGGCAGAGGGAGGAGGTGACCGTAAGCACAGTCGAAGAGGAAGGTCTTTGGTGGTGATCTAAAATTGGGGAAGGAGGGGGCAAGGCGGAGGGATTGCAGGAGAGAGTTCCAAAGCAACAATCCCCCAGATACAATTGGACATTGCAGCCTCGATATCAAATGCAAGGATTACTGTTAACAGTAGTTATTCCCACACACCTTCCCAAAAGATCTAGTCCAGTTCCTCGTTGCAATAAATGGGTCATATTTAGGATTAGGAGAAACAGCAACTATGTCCTTGGGGGAGAGGGAGGAGGTTAAGATCATTAGCACGCTGATGGAAATTTGGAATTACCAACGGGCCCCCGTGTTGATTGTTGATCTCAGTAGAGACTGAGCAACATCTGCTCCTGGGGAGGTTGGAGCGAGTGAATAACAGGTGCATTCCACCTACACATCATCCCACCACGCTGAGCACAGCAACTCTTGTCTGTCAGGATATCGTGATGTCTGGCTTGTATCCTATTTAATTTGTGCGTACCATTTCCCAACTAATAATAATAATCCTTGCATTTGATATAGCACCTTCTCACGTCTTCGAGATGTCTCAAAGCGTTTCACAGGATATATTGTACTGTAAAGTGGATTGACTGTATAGGTGAAATCCAGCAGTCAATTGCACCCAGCAGTATCCCCCAAACAGTCGGGGATTGAGAGACCAAATTATTATTCAATTTTTTTTAAGGGTTGATAACCCCTGTAAAAGCAATCCGTCCATCGACAACAACTGCGTTCCTATTTACCCAGTAAACTACTTGGAATAAGGAAACTTGGCTAAGGTTTCGCCCTGGGCAGGAAGTTAACCCGGGTTCTCTCGCTTGCAAGGCGAATGCGCTAACCAATAAGCTGCAGGAAGAGACCATTTCACCCCCTCACTGTTCTATATATATTCCAGAACAATTTACAAGAGCTTTATATTCTTTCCATTCGTTCTGTTTCTCCAGTTCTTGTTATTGTGGGCATGTGGCCTTGTCTCTTTCACTCAGTGACTCCCTCTGAACAAGATTTCAAGTGACTCATAGACAACAGGAAGAGGCTGTTGTAGGGGATGAGATAATCATCCTGCCAGTTTTTTATATCACAAGGTAAATCTTTTAATCTTATTTCCCCACAACTCTTAAAAGCCCTGATTTCCCATTATCCCAGTATCTATTCCATCTCCCATTAAAATGGCCCCATTTATTCTGCTGGTATTTGGGAATCACCAACAACCAAAACAACATCTTGCATTTATATCACAACTATATGAATGTGCAATTGGCTGCTGTATTTCACCCACATAATACAGTCAATCCACTTTAAAATATATCCTGCGAAGTGCTTTGAGTCGTCTCAACGACATGATAAAGCGTTACATCAAATGCAAGGATTATTGTTATAGCACCTTCCATGCAAGATAGCATCTCGGAGTGTGGTAAACAAGTGGATTAAAGCAATTTCACACCATCTTCTCTGTGATGTCTTCTCTGTCTGCACCTGCTAATTCTCTCCAATAAACAATTTGGAGGAGCACTAGTGATTAGTCCATTGATGAGCATGTCTCTGTGGGACCCATTGATTCTCTCTCGTTCTCTGTAATAAACAAGCGTATCAGCTACGTTCTAATGACTAAGCCTTTCTTTGCAGCTTCCATTTTCTCTCTTTAATTTACAATCCGTTTTAACTGTTAAAAAGTGAACTGTATTCCACTTCTCTTTTTCTGGTCTTTTCTCGAATTCCATCCATCGTTCATCAGAATTTTCGAAAAATTCCTTCTTCTCACTTTTGTTTTCCTGACCTGCTTTGAGACGTTTCATCACCACGTTAAAATGCAACAGTTTTGTAGAATCATATAAACATGGAATTATAGAAATGAAAGCACAGGCCATCTGTCATCAAACCAATCCCCTTTCTTCCAGTGGAGATATCTTTTCTAGCACTACAAATAATAATAATCCTTACACTTGATATAGGGCCTTCTTCGAGACGTCTCAAAGCGCTTCACAGGAAATACTGTAAAGTGAATTAACTGAATATTTTGTGGGCAAAATGCGGCAGCCAATTGCGCACAGGAGACACAGTCACTACACTCTACAGAAAATCCTGTGAAACGCTTTGAGATGCTGAAAAGGCGTTGCGTCAAAGGACTATTAGTGCCAATTCCCTTGCTCTTTGCCCACACGAATCGGAATTTGGTCTCACACAGCCAGAGGAACCCGGCATGATTCAGAGACCATAATCACCGTCGTGAATAAAGGATATGGGGCAAGGGCGGGTAATTGGAGTCGAGGAACTTAGCAGCCACCATCTAATATAATATTAGAATATTAGAATGGTGGAACAGGCTCGAGGGGCTGAATGGCCTACTCCTGTTCCGGTGTCTGCATTGCACCACTGGGTGGAGCGAGTGAGCTTCATTCAGGATTTATTGTGCGACTGCCCCCTCGTGTGGTAGAATTGAGGTCCCTACGATAGAGATAATAATAATAATAATAATAATCCTTGCCTTTGATCTAATAATGATGATATAGCGCCTTATAACGTCATTGAGACGTCTCAAATATACTGTAAATATACTGTAAAGTGAATATATTTTGTAAATGTACTGTAAAGTGAATATATTTTAATAATAATAATCCTTGCATTTGATATAGCGCTTTTCACGTCGGGAGGACGTCCCAAAGCGCTTCACAGAACACACTGTAAAGAGAATTGACTGTATATTTGTGGGCGAACGCGGCAGCCAATTGCGCACAGCAATGTCCCACAAACAGTCGTAGATTGAAAATGACCGATTTATTATTGTTTTTGGTCGGTTAAAAACATGGCAGCCAATTGGGCGAGGCAGTGTCCCGCAAACAGTCGTGGATTGAGCGACCAAATCATTCGTATTATTGTTTGTGTTCCTACCTGTTTCGCTGAGACTTATACACTGTGACTCGCTGACTGCTTTACTCTGCTCAAAGAATAAACTGATGAATGGGAAAAAAATGACGATAGAAAAAAAATGACAATAGAAAAAGGGTCTCACATAACTCAAACTTTGTTAGGGTTTATTGAGGAGGAAACGGGGTTAGCAAACCTGGGAGAAAGTAAGGAAGGGCATGGGGAGGGAATTGGGGCAGCTAACTTCACTCAAAAGCAAACAATAATACAACGGGTCGTAATGGCCTACCGTCGCACATTCTGGAAACTTCCGTGGTTACACGGATGGGGGGTGGGGGGGGAGGCAAATCCTGCTTACACCTCAACTTGGTAAGTGGCAGTTTTCGTCTGGTGCTTGTGGCAGGACCACATCTGGTAAAACACCAACATGGCGGTCAGGTAGGCGATGAAGCTTCCCGAGCCATACATCAGGTAGGTTCTCTCCCAGGGCAGCTTGGCCCAGGAGTCCTGCGCCTCCTTCAAGGTGGTGTCCAGCACTCCTACCAGCAGCAAGATGGCCCAGAACAGGAGAGGGAGCAGCGGCATGCAGTTGGTGGCCCTCTCTTTGCGCCCCGAAGTCCCCCAATTGGAGGCCGTGACGGTGAGGAGGGCGAAGGACTTGGTGGGGAGCAGGCTGGTCAGGTAGAGAATGGAATACACCGAGGTAAAGATCATCGCCAGGTCTCCCCGCAGGCATGAGGCATACACCCCTTTCAGGACCCCCAGCAGCTGGGTGAAGAGAAGGATCCACACAATGTTCCATAAGCAGCCGCTGAAGAAGAGCTTGACTACGGTCAGGGTTACGAGGAATGGAAAGCCTCCCACCACCATGGCTTCGTACGTCATCCAGAGGTGGTGCTTGTGCCACAGGCGGGTGCTGTACAGCCACTCCCTGATGTAGGACTTGGACCAGCGGATCTGCTGGTTCAGCCAACGCAGGTACTGGGCTGGGGTCTCCGTGTAGCAACAGGCTGCCAACGTCTGCCTGGGCAAAACAGGGGGAGATCACCTTCCATTAATCACTGCGGGCCCTGCACACACGTGTGTGTGTAGTAGTGTGTGTGTGTGTGTGTGCACTGCGTAGCACTCGACAGTTGCAGTGCTATTCTTGGACACTAACTTGCATGAGGGGCATTTTATCAAAAATAATAATAATCCTTGCGTTTCATAGAGCACTTTATCACATCGTTGAGACGTCTCAAAGCGCTTCACAGAACACACTGTAACGCGAGTTGACTGTATATTTTGTGGGCGAAACACAGCAGCCAATTGTGTACATACCGTCCGGGATTGAGTGACCAAATTATTATTCGATGGGAGGAATTATTACCCCCGGAAAACAATCTGCCAATCGACTACAACTGGGTTCCTTCCTACTTACTGCTCGGAAAACAGAGGCGTAGGGAGTGAGGAAACTTGCCTAAGGTCTCGCCCCGCCCGGGAATCACACCGGGGTCTTCTCGTTTGCGAGGCGAGTGCGCTAACCACTGAGCTACAGCGCTCCAGGTGCAAATGCAAGTTGTTGTTGGTGTTGTTGCGATGCCGGTGACTTGACTCCAGAGGTGAGAGGGATTCAGGAATTGGGAGGGGCTCGGAGAAGTGGGCGGGGCTCCAGGGTGTGGGAGGGGCTCTGGGGAGTGGGGGGAGCTCTGAGAAGTGGGAGGGGCTCTGGGAAATGGGAGGGGCTCTGGGGTGTGGGTGGGGCTCTGGGGTGTGGGTGGGGCTCTGGGGAGTGGGAGGGGCTCTGGGGAGTGGGAGGGGCTCTGGGGAGTGGGAGGGGCTCTGGAGAGTGGGAGGGGCTCTGGGGAGTGGGAGGGGCTCCGGAGCCTTACTTGGTGGAGTAGCCCAAGTGCAGCACTTGATTGGTCAGGTGACGGTCGTCTCCGAAGGTGCAGCGGCCGCCCAGGAAATGCTGGTTGTACCAAGACTCCAGGAACTTCTGCAGCAGATCGTTCTTGTACAGGCCTGAGAGGGAGAGAGGGGGCGCGGAGAGGGAGGGAGGGAGGGAGGGGGACAGAAAGAGGAAGAGAGTGAGAGAGAGAGAGGGGAGAGGGTGGGGGGGGGGAGAGTGAAAGAGAGTGGAGGGGGGAGAGCGAGAGGGAGAGGAGAGAGACGTCATGGAGATCAGAGCGCGTCAGAGAACACTGGTGACCACAGCTCACGTCGCTCAGCCGTACACACCAGAGCAAACCTGGGTCCCGGTTCCGCTCTCGCATGTTGCTGGGTCACAGCCTCAGCAGCCACACGTGATGAACACGCACGACGAACACACCTACCAACACGGCAGACACACGTGATTGACACGTGTGGCGCGCGCACACGCGTGACGGACGCTCGTGAGGAACGCACCAGGCAAAAGAACATACGTGACAAACACGTGTCCATCCACATCTGCGAGCGCGGACACGCCTGGAGTCAGGACTCACCACTGGCTGGACGCACGCCACCTGCGACAATTCCTTGGCACTCTCTAGTACTGGGTGAGGGGGGCAGGAGGGGAGGAGGGGAAACCCTTACCCAGCGGGCTGCTGATGCAGGACACGCAGTGGAAGTAGGACTGACAGGCCCGCTCCACGTTGAAGACGAGCCAGTAACACAGGCTGCTCAGGAAGCTGAGGAAGGAATCATTGGGGTTGAGAACCCGGACCTCTCCACCCACCGCCCCATAGCTCTCGTTGGACTCCAGCACCTTGACCAGCTCCATCGTGGCCTCAGGGTCCAGTTTGGTGTCCGAGTCGCAGACCTGAAAACATACAGGATATGTGGGCGGTAGCTCACCCCACACTCACCCACGCACACTTTAAATAATAATAATAATAATCATTACGCAATTGGCTGCTGCGTTTTGCCTCAAGCCTGTTCCACTATCCTATTAGATCATGGCTGATCTGTACTTCAACTCCAATTACCTGCCTTTGTCCCATATCTCTTGATACCCTGACCTGACAAGTATCTATCCACCTCAGGCTCAAAAATGTGAATGGATCCAGCCGTAATCCACAGCCTTTTGGGGGAGGGAGAGAGAGAGTTCCAGATTCCCACTTCCATTTGCGTGCTTCCAGGACAAAAGTGGTGGTGATAGTGCTTAGATTGTCCGTCCTTCGCCTTGCGAGCTGCTGAGCGGGGTCTTTTTTTTAATGGCGCAGTGAAGCCTCATGGGCCTGGGTGACCCAACTCACCTGAATGTAGTCCACCGAGCACCCGATGGCTTTGAAGGCCGTGTACATGACCTCTCGCTTCCCTCCCCATTTCTGCATGACACACACGCATCGCTTGGCCTGAATCAGAGCCTCCAGAGCCACCCGCTCGGGGTTCCCCACGCACGACTCCCCATAGAAGAGGTTGACGGGATCCCTGGCCAACCGTCGCTGGTCCTTCCTCTCCTCGGGATCCTCCTTGACCTGATTGAAGTTCCTGGCATGATAGTTGCCCTGCCACACGAAGGTACCCATTTCCTCTTTGCAGAACACCTCCCTGAAGATGTCCATCATGTACTGGTCTTCCTTTGAGTTGCCGTCGATGACCAGGATGACTTTGAGCTTGTCGCAAGGGTAGTTGATGTCCCTGATGGAGTTCAGGCACTGGGTGAGGAACAACGGGTCCTCCCGGTAGGCGGATATGGCCACGGCCACCGATTTGGTGAAGCTACACTGGCCGATCTTCTCTCTCACACCGCTGCACTCCAATAGAGCGAAGAAACTCTGGATCAGGAGGTGCACGGACAGAGGCACGGCAAAGACCCCCAGGAGACCAGCTTGTGCCCCTCCTGAATCAGGCGGAAGGCGGGCACGTACAAGGTGACCAGGCAGACCCCCATGTGCAAGGCAAAGGTCACTGTGTAGGCTTGACGGACGAGGCTGACCACGGTGCTCTTCTTAACCATGGCTGCTCGAGGCCAACGTACACACGGGTAGCGATAGTCACCGCACGTCAGGCTACGGAGGCAAAGAGACAACGGCATTGGGATCGATTCCTAACTGGATAAATTATGAATTTAATTAATAGCCGATGTTACGCCCCCAAACTGTTTCTTTTTAATTTTTTGAATTTTTTTTCACAATTTTAATAATTTTTGTTCATTTATTATTTTTTAAAATGTGTGTTTTTTTTAAAAAAAAAGTTTCAGGGCGTATAAATAAATGGGGGAAAAAAGTTAGTAAATTAATTATTATTATTAAATGCGCCTGAAACTGTTTTTCTTATCATCGTTTCTTTCAAATTGATTATCAATTGGATTATCAATTGATTCATTATTAAGCGCCCAAACCGTTTTTGAAAGCTTTTTTCAAATGAATTATTCCTTTTATTATTATTATTTCATTGATACATTACACCCCAAAATTGTTTTTTTTAACACTCTTTGTTTTTCAAAATAAATGAATAAAATGTAAGAAACGTGTCTATTTCTTTCGAAAACAAACAAACGAAGAAAGTCCTCTCCCCAACTCCGTGTTGTTCGCGTTTTTTTCGGGCTTCCTATCGATGTGAAACCCCAATGTAATATCATTCTTATCACTTATTATTATTATTTATTATTAATAATTACGCTCCGAGGGTCAATGTCAGCTGCTCAAATAAAAGCCCTAAAACAAACATAACAGGGTTTAAAATGAACCCATGTTAAAAAACAACTGAATATAATAAACTCGACTTCCCCCCCACACTCCCCCCTCCCCAAATTTTTTTTTATAGTTTTAAAAAGAATTCTAGAATTTAATGGCTATTTAAAAACTGGCAAAAAATTTTTGGGGTGGGTGGGGGTTTAGAGGGGGTGGGGGAGAGAGGTGGGGGTTAGAGGGTGGGGGGGGAAGAGAGGTGGGGGTTAGAGGGTTGGGGGGGGGAAGAGAGGTGGGGGTTAGAGAGGGTGGGGGGGGAGAGAGGTGGGGGTTAGAGGGTGGGGGGGGGAGAGGTGGGGGTTAGAGGGTGGGGGGGGAGAGGTGGGGGTTAGAGGGTGGGGGGGAGACAGGTGGGAGTTAGAGGGTGGGGGGAGAGGTGGGGTTAGAGAGTGGGGGGAGAGAGGTGGGGGTTAGAGGGCGGAGGGGAGAGAGGTGGGGGTTAGAGGGTGGAGGGGGAGAGAGGTGGGGTTAGAGGGTGGGGGGAGAGAGGTGGGGGTTAGAGGGTGGAGGGGGAGAGAGGTGGGGGTTAGAGGGTGGTGGGGAGGGAGAGGTGGGGGTTAGAGGTGGGGGGGGGGGGAGGTTAGTGGGTAGGGGTGGGGGGGAGAGGTGGGGGTTAGAGGGTGGGGGTTAGAGGGTGGGGTGGGGGTTAGAGGGTGGGGGGGGGTTAGAGGGTGGGGGGGAGAGGTGGGGGTTAGAGGGTGGGGTGGGGGTTAGTGGGTGGGGTGGGGGGGAGAGGTGGGGGTTAGAGGGTGGAGGGGGAGAGAGGTGGGGGTTAGAGGGTGGGGTGGGGGTTAGAGGGTGGGTGGGGTTAGAGGGTGGGGTGGGGTTAGAGGGTGGGGGGTGGGGGTTAGAGGGTGGGGTGGGGGTTAGAGGGTAGGGTGGGGGTTAGAGGGTGGGGTGGGGGTTAGAGGGTGGGGTGGGGGGGGGAGGTTGGGGGGGGAGTTTGATGGTTATCAAAGCAACTTCTTTTTTTACCTGTTTTGGTTTTGTTGAGGGAACGGTTGGGTGAGTGGTTTGTTGGGTTAGTTTAGTTGGTACCTGGTGGGGGGGTGGGGGTAGTTGGTTGGTTGGTTAGTTGGTTGGTTGGTGGGTGGGTGGGGTTAGTTGGTTGGTTGGTTAGTTGGTTGGTTGGTGGGGGGGTGGGGGTTAGTTAGTTGTTGGTTGGGGGGGGTGGGGGGGTTAGTTATGGTTGGTTTGG